AAATCAGGAACGGTTGGAAGCGCCCAATCCCAAATTCAAGCAAATATGCGTCGCTATGTTATCACCTCGTCCAGAGATTCTAACGTCTTTCTTGGCTTAGTTACATCTCCTGACTCATGACTGACTCCTTTCTAATAGTGTAGCCCTCAACCCTTGTCCGAAGACTGCATCTGACCGCCAAATTCATAGTTTCCGTTGATATTCTCGCAACAAGCCACTATGTGGACTGACCAGAATTCTTCACGTCTCTGTGCACGGTAGTGCAAGCGTGTCAGGTGCCCCTTGCAACACACGCATGTCGCTCAGAGCCTGTAATACTTCCCGAATCCATTCCTGGCATCGTCGCAGTGGCTCTCCTGGATATAGTCGTTTGCTGACGTGATACTGCTTTCTTGGTGGCGGTATACTGGCGCAAATAACTTTGAGGCGAGAGTAGTCCTCGTCATCCACCCAACCAAGAAATGTCTTGTTTTTGAATACATGAGATAACTCAGGTTGGGGGCTTGACCTTGTTTGATACTTCATCCCACTTTGAATGTCCCCCATGGCATGGAACAGTTGTGCTGATCCATCTTTGCCTGCTTCAACAAAAAGGGCATGATGGTCCAGGTCAAAACCAATGTACTCCACGAGGTAAACGGAATGACCCATATCCTATCAGTAATGAGCTTCTTGCTTCTTGAAGGGACGTAGTAGAACATCCCAATTGGAGCTGAAGTGGGAGTAAACAGATGCCTGTTGGTAACGAGTCTTAAAGGCGAGTGAATAATTACGGATAAGTGCTAGTGTTGATATGATTGATGAGAGGGTTTGCTTGTTGTTAGTTGCCTATTGTTTGTGTCTTTCTGTCATTTCGTATTTGACAGTTCCCTTATTACCACTTGTTTATATATATGGGTCTTCATGTCGGTTAATCCGTAACTGAAGCAGCCTGGTTGAACGCATAGGATCCCATCAAACCTTTGGTAAGAGAGTTGCAGACTTTGGAATCGATGGTCAAAGCCCTAGATTGAGTAACAGACCCCATGTGCCGGTATCATTATTGAGGGCTGCGACAGACGTTTCGTACATTCCTCGCAAGACTGCTCAATTAAAAGTAATGCATAGCCTTTAGGAATAGACTTACTGCTACCCAGTATTCAAAAGTTATCGTCAATATTGTGGCTGTTTCTGAAATGTCGGGGAAGGCGGGAAAAGGGGGGTGGTTGCGCCTCGGCCCTTTGTTCTGACACAACATTGACACTGCACCCGCATTTGAATCCCCTTCATTCTGTTACCATTCATTGAGGTCATGCTTTTACCGCCATAGCCTCTAGACTCCACCCCCAGTTCATGCAATGTCCGCTTTCAAGTTCTCATCTGATATAGTACATAACACAATGTCTTCAGTACCCTTTGTTTGCCTTCGAATCAGAGATTGCTAAGCTCTACACGAGACCTGCCTTGCTCGTCCCCGTGTTTAGCGATCCCACCCGCCTGAGCATGCGGCTGACAATAGAAACTGTGTGCTTTCAGGCTGAAGTCGCTTATGGCCCAGTTTTTGGGCAGCTCCGTCCTCGCCCCTGTGGAAAGATTGTCTCAAGGTCGATGTCAATTACACAAGGCCCATTCTCTCTTTGACTGCAGTCAAACTCTTTGATGGTTCCATACACATCTCGGGGAATTTCCATCGAGCTTTTGTCTCGACCCATCGTTTTTCCAGTCTCTTTCATCGACAGTTTTGTCTGTTCTGCTTGGCCGTGCGAAGGCCAACGCAAGTCTAGCCTCGGGTCGGATATTGACGTATCTGCCGGCACTACAACACAAATGGCTGCTGATTCTCAGCAAAAAGCGGCTCCTAAACTTGCTCCATAATCCGGCCGCACAAGACAAGGAGCACCAGTCTCTCCTCTTAGTCTGCATCAAGCTTGCATCAAGTTTCGACCACGACGACGGCGCTGTACGGAACCCGGCCGTTTACCAGCTGGCCAAGGCGTGCTGCATGGCCAAGGAACCAGACCGCTTCATCTCACTTCGTCTTGTCCAGTGTCTGATCCTCATCGCTGTATACGAACTGGGCCATGCCATTTTTCCGAAGCGTACGTCACCGTCAGCCACGCCTCGAGGTTGGGTGGCATGACCGGACTTCACAACAAGAACCTTTGAACAAAGGTTGTTCAACATGGAAATGTCGCAAAGGCTCCACGAAAATGTGGTAAGGCTTGGGTCGACAAAGACCACGGTCAGATGTGATATATCTCCCGCACGACGGAATTCTGTTCAACGCGAAGCAAAGCATTTCCCAAGCTTCGTCGAGTTTCTACCCAGGCAGGCCTTCATCGGAGTCCTAGTAGTTCCCTTACCAATTGTTGTGAACACGGAGACGAAACCATGCTAAGCAGAGAGGCACAAACACCATCACCACAACAATGACAGCGCAACTCGAATCGCAAAAAGTATCCTCATTTTTATCCAGATATAAAAACCCCCATGAACGCCATGTATCGCATGTCCACATCATACAACCAAGCTTCCATCCAGCCCTGCATGCTCCTACCGCACCACCCGTCCCTCAAATCCTGCCCCCAATCTTCATCTTGAGGAAATCAACAAACCTCTTGGCCTGCCACGTGCTCGAGTCGTCGATGCCGCGATAGTACTCGTGCAAGCCCATGCCGCGCTCGGCGTAGCGCAGGGCCTTGGCATAGTCGCCGACCTCGGACCAGACGCGCGACACGACGCCGTAGAGGTCGCCGCGCTGCGAGTCGAGGGCCTCGTCGTCAATCATGTCCTCCATCTCGCTGACGAGCTCGCTGACGAGGGCCGGCGTGCGCACCTCGGGCATGGCGAGCTCCTCCATGATGCGGTCGAGCTGGCGCCGGTGCATGTCGGAGAGGTACATCTCGCCCTCGTCGGTGCAGATGGGGCACTTGCACTCGAAGCCCCAGGACGAGATGATCATGTCGCGGCGGTCGTCGGAGAGGAGGTGCATGGGCGCGTCTGTATCGTGTCAGCTGTCTGAGGAGGGCAGGGCAGCGCAGCGCAGCGCAGGGCAAGGGCAGGGCTGGTCTTACAGCTGATGGTGATCTCCTCGCCGGCCTTGATGTCGTGGTAGGCAATGACCTCCATCTGGAGCTTTGTCTGCGACCAGCGGGTCACGGCACTGCACAAGTCAGTCTGACGGCCCCAACAGCAGACAATTCTCAACCGAGAGACGACCTACTTTGGCTTGCACGCATGGTTGATCTTCTGCAAAATCAAAAGTCAGCACGTCTACCCCCCACCCCGTAGAAGCCCAACGCACGAAATTTCCCTTGAACAGCGCAAAGTGCGCCACGCCCTGAAACTTGACCTCGAACGAGTTGGTCCGCACAATGTCGTCGATGGGGTGCCCGCCGGCGTTGCGCGCGAGGTCCAGGATCTCGAGCTGCTCGGCCTGGCGAGCGCAAGAACGCCCGCTCCTGCGCGGCC